ATGCTTTTCACTTATGCCACATGTTCTATTCATTTGACTGTTGACTATGACTACTTCATAAGTAATGACAAAATCCTGATAAGCTTCCCTGTTCCTCACCTTTATAAATGTTTATCAATGGGGCTGAGAGCATGGTTCAGGTGGTAGAACACCTGCCTAGCAAATATGAGGACCTGCGTTTAAACCTCAGTACTGCCAAAAATAAATAAATAAATGTATTTCCATGTCCACATGGACAATCTATTACTTTTAGGATAGACTAGGACCCCTTCTTTTTTGGGACAGGGAGGTGGGATGGAGTTTGAACTCAGTGCTTGCAAAGCAGGCATTCTACTGCTTGAGCCACAGCTCCATTCCATGTTGGTCTGGGTATTATTTATTTATTTGTTTGTTTGCTTATTTATTTGTTTGTTTATTTGTTATTTGGAGATGGGGTCTTGCCAACTGTTTGCCCAGGCTGACCTCAAACCATGATCCTCCCTATATCAGGGCCCCAAGTAATCAGGATTATAGTCACTGATGCCTGGCCTAGGAGCCCTTCCTAATTTTCATGGTAAACCATATGATATAGCACTTTCCTTTTGACCAAGATTTGAATGCATGCTATTATAAGGCCCTGGATAACCAAGGTTTCTGAGTAATAGCTCTCCAGAAGGATGTCCAAGTGGTAGTGTAATTGTCATGTTCTACATAAAGAAATGGAGCAGGTGACATGAACAACTACAATCCAAAAAAAAGAAACATTGGTGGTAAGATGGGAAAATGTAATTGGAATCCTGAACTGAGGTTAAAAGAGTACCTCCACTGGGTGAATTAATGTCAAATTCAAATAAATATAAAGTATGTGCATTAATATTAACATCTATCCCCATAGTCAAAAGAATACTTTTGGGCATTGCCATAAAGGTCCAGAATCCTTTGACACTGCATGGATCTCAGAATGACATTTGAGAGGAAGCTTTTATGCTCATTGCTTTTCTGAAGACCTCAGAGAAAAAGCCTTTATCCTGAGTCCTATCAAGTGACTTCTCATTCACAGTGGTCTCATTAAAACACAATTGGTATGGGGCACTGGTGGCCCACACCTGCAATCCTATGCAATCCTAGCTACTTGGGAGGTAGAGATCAGGAGGATCACAGTTGGAAACGAGCCCCAGCAAATAGTTCTGGAGACCCTACCTAGAAAAAAAAATCACAAAAACGGGCTGTCAGAGTAGCTGAAGTGGGGAGAGTACCTGCCTAGCAAGTATGAGGCCAATACCACCAAAAAATAAAAAAAAACACACGAACACACACAATTAAAACCAAGCTCCCATGACTCGTGCCTGTAATCCTAGAGGCTGACATGATATAGGCAGGATTGTGATTCATGGCAAACAGATCATGAGATCCTACCTCCAAAATAACCAGGGCAAATTATACTGGAGGTACAACTCAAGCTGTAGAGCACCTGACCTAAGGAGCTACTCTGGTATGGTAGAAATGGCATTGTCACACAGAGCCACCTGGAGCTAGCTAGTATACCACTCAGTCCTTGACCTTTCAATTTCAAGTTCCTTCCTTACTCTCCTGTTCCATTTGCCCACCCATGGCCATAACTTCAGTCTTCTTACCACTTAGAATAGCTCTCACATAAAAATCTAGAGTTCACTATCCTACACCACCTCACCCCAACCTTTAAGCTTTCTCCCTCAGCTGCTCCCACAGGCCTTGCTAGCATCACTGACCCTCTCTAGTCTTGTGCTCACCACTATCCCCTTTAACTGTCCAAAGTCATCTGTCAGTTCTTTCCCATGCAGACTGTGTGGGCTCCATCACTTCACTCACTGGCAGGTGAACACAGGATTCCCTTTTCCACATTCTCTTCCATCTCCCAGGATGCCTGCCAAACACCAAGGCTATATGGATCTTATATTGTTCTCTTGGTCACCTTCGTGCAGAAAAAAAAATCCAATAATGTGACTCGGCTCTGAATGCAGCTGAGTTCTCTGCCCTGCTTAGGAATCTTCTAGCATCTTAGCTTTGGTTCCCCAGCCTCCAAAAGGGAATGAATTCAAAAATAACCTCTTTGAAAATCAAGTGCTTTACTCTTTTTGAAATCTTAAATATGGGAAGAATTTTATAATTGAGTATGATACTCAACCATAACAATGTACACAAAAATCATCACATCAGAGAGCATAAATTCTAGAGTTATTTTTTTCCAAAAAGTATCTATTTTGAACAAGATGTCTTATACAAAAAAATTAGAATTTGAGAAAGTGCAGTAATAACATATCTACATATTCAATGAATATGTACAGCCAATATACTTTGGAGGTACTGGGATTTGAACTCAGGGCCTCATACTTACTAGGCAGGTACTCTACCACTTGAGCCACTTCACCAACACATTCAGTGAATAAATACTGCTTGGAAAAATTTTAGGACTAATGTCTCTCAAATTACACTGGTCAATGTCACATACTATAAACAAGCAATGTCTCAGTGTAGCTCAGTTGTCATACTGTCACAGATACTTCACGTTGTATTTGGCCTAAACTACAAATGTACCGTCTATATAAAGTTGATTGAGTCACCAGTTATCATCTTTTTTTACTTTTTATTTTCTTGTTTCTTGCCACTTTCTCAAGATAAAAGTTACATACCATTCAATTCATACACTTAAAATGTAAAATTTCATGTTTTTAATGAGTTTCAGGCATGTTCATTAATGACCATAGTCAACTTTGGGACACCTCAGAAACAAGCTGATTCCTTTCACCTATTCCACCGCTCTCCCAGCCCACACGTCAGCAGTCAATACTCCTCTCTGTCCCCATGCATTTGCCTCTTCCGATGCTTCAGGTAAATAGAGTAACATTAAATGTAGTCTCATGTTTGGATTCTCACATTCCACACACCCTGTTGTGTGGACAGTGCTTTCTCTCATCCTGAGTATATAATTAAGAGCAGCATTGCTACATCATGGGTAAACCTGTATTCAAGTTGTTGAATTTCCAAACTTGTACCTCCATGACTGCACCATTTTCCAGTACTATCAGAAGTTTGTGGGGGTTACAATATCTCCACATCCTGGCCAAAATTGTGATTTTCAGACTTTTTGATTCTAGCTACCTTGATGGAAGTGAAGTGATAACTCACTATGGTTTTGGTTTGCATTTCCCTGGCATGTTTGTTTGTTTGTTTTTGCGGTATGAGGATTGAACCCATGCCCAACCTCCATTTTTAGGAAAGCACTCCACCACTTGAGTCATGCTCCCAGCCCTTTGTATTTAGTTTGTTTTTGAGATAGGATTCCCTAAGTTTGTCTGGGCTAACTTTAAGCCACCATCCTTCTGTCTTGGCTTCCTGAGCAAGTGGGATTACAGGCGTGTATCAACATGCACAGATGGCATTTCCTGTTGATGATGGATTCGAGCATCTTTCCATGACTTATTGGCCATTGGTATATCTTCGTTAAAGAGAGGACTATTTTAATGGAGTTATTTGTCTTATTATTACCAAGTTATCAAGTCTAAATATATTCAGGATATATGATGTATAGATATTTCATTCTTTGAGTTATCTCTTCACCTTCTTTTTTTTTGTCAGTACTGAGGTTTGAATTCAGGGCTCTAACATTTGAGCCACTCTGCCAGGTCTTTTTTGTGTCAGGCATTTTAGAGATAGGGTCTTGTGAAATTACTCAGGCTGACCTCAAACCTTAACCCTCCCGATCTCTGCCTCTCCAATAGCTAGGATTACAGGCGTAAGTCATGGATGTCCAACTTCTCTTCATTGTCTTGGTAGCATCCTTTAAAACTGAGAGCAAAATGCCAATGATGAACATTTGTGTCTTTCTATTGTTACTCGTGATCTTGTATCATCTCTTAGTATTCATTGCCAATTACAGGACATGTACATTTGCCCCTGTCTCCTTCTAGGAGTTTTATAGCTTTAGAGCTTAGTTTTAAGTCTCTGGTCCATTTTCAGTTGAATTTTGTATACATAGGAAGAATTCAACTTCATTCTGCTGCTTGTGGCTATCTAGTTGTACAAGAAACATTTTTTATCAAGGACTTTTATTTCCTTCCTGGAAGGGTCATAGCATCCTTGAAAACCACTTACAAAACTCACACTTTTCTTTACATTTCTGGATCCTGACTTTATTCTATTGATCCATCTGCCTACCTTTTATTGTTATTTATGTATGTATTTATGTATTTATTGCAGTACTAGGGCTGCAATAGTATTGCAGTACTCAGGGCCTACACCTTGAGCCACTCCACCAGCACTTTTTTGGATGGATTATTTTCAAGATAGGGTCTCAAGAACTATTCACCTGAGCTGGCTTCAGGCTGTGATCTCCTGATCTCTGCCTCCTGAGTAGCTAGGATTACAGGCGTGAGCTACCAGTGCCCACTCATCTGCCTAATTTATGCCAGTGCCTTAAAAGCACTATTACGATTAACAGTGCTTTGTAGTGTGTCTTGAAAATCTACTATGTCCTTTTACAAGAATATTTTAGATATTCTGAGGTTCTTACAACTCCACATAAATTTTAACATCAGTTCATCAATTACAAGAAAAACCCAGGATATGAGGGCTTCACGGCTGAATTCTGGAGAACATGTGGAAAAGAGTTTATACCAACACTTTCAAACTACTCTCTTAGTACTGAGGAGGGACTTTCCCACTTTCTTTTCTTTTTGAATATTAAAAAGCAAATATTGAAGCAGATGGGAAGCAGGAACGATGACCTTATTATCACAATCAGCTTCACTAAACACAGACAATAAGCAAATGTTATGGAATGTTACGATGACAGCTGTGAGATCACAGAAACATCAAGGGGAACTTGAGCGCAATGGCCTTCTTCCCCACCCCCATCAGCAGCACCCCTTCTCTGGCTGCAGAGACTGTCTCTGAACCTTTTCCTCACAGACCTATAAATACAGCTGACTCCTCACTCCCCATACACTCTGCTCCTGCTATCCCACCCCAGGTGACTCCCAACCATGAGGTCACTTGCCCTCCTCGCTGCCCTTCTCCTTCTAGCCTTCCAGGCCCAGAGTGGACCTCTCCCAGAAAATGCTGAGGAGGCTCCAGACCAGGAGCAGCCAGAAGAGGACCAGGACATGGCTGTCTCCTTTGCAGGGGCTGAAAGTTCTGCTCTCCAATGTGCAGCTGAGAGATGCCAGCCCGCCTCATAGAGGCACAGGGTCCAGACTGCAGGTGGGCTCTGGAAACAGGTCAGGACAAGCCGACATCAATTACCTGAATATGTGTAGACTGGACTTCAACTTTCTCATCTACAAAGCAAAAAGTCAGAGCCAGATAAATCTTAGAGAATTTCTTCCTTTGCAAACTTCTAAGACATGTCTCGGTTTCACTAAGTTTAAGATATGAATAGACATACAGATTAATTATTTTCTCTATCAAAATGTGTAGTTTTAGTTATAAAGAGCACATTTGACTCTTTTTGAGGAGATTTTGGAAAAAGGAATGGACAGAAAGAGTCCATTCAAACATGCATATGGAGGTTCAGGAGCACACAGAGGGGAAGACAGGTGAGAGAAGGTCCCCAGTGTTATGAGTGATCATCACTTGCTGTGTACACCAATTCCTGTTGACAGAGCTTGTTCATTTTGCCATATGTAACATAACCAACATGACAAACCCACTCAATGCAGCCTGGAACCCCTCCAGAACTCTCTTTACCTACCATGTCTGACCCAGTGTTCAATTCTTGATGCTCTCTGCGTCTCCAGGTGGCAAAAAGACCTTGACCTGCTTCTGCAGACTAATAGGCTGCTTGTTTCCTGAAAGTGTTTATGGGACCTGCTTGATAAGAGGTATACAGCACAAGTTCTGCTGCCGCTGAACACCAAAAGAGAACACAGAGAGATCACCATTTACTTTGAGACAGTGCAGGGAATTCCGTCACCTCTGTACTTGACCTAGATTTTCTTTCTCTATCTCGAATAAATTCCTTGCATCAATTTCCCTGTGTGTGCTTCCTTGGTATTTGCTATGTGACTCAGAAAAGAATCCATGTGGTGCTAAATTCTAGAATCTTTGATGGAACCCTTGTAAACAAAATCCTGGTTCCAAATACTAGAAATTTCAAGGATGAACACAGACTTCAAACACAAACTGATCAGTCCACCTGCCTCTCTTGTCTCATACCTCTGCTTTCATTTTAGATTGGACTTGCTCTCAAAAACATTGCCATGTCAATCTTGTTTACTCAGTGACTGCATCACACTTCTCAGGAAATCAACCATACTCTTTTCTAAAGTGTTAGAGTTTTATTGAAGAGGCCCACATAAAACATTGGTATTTTAAGACCTGATGAAACCAGAATCTTCCCATGACACCGGGACGTGCCACACTGGCCAGTGTCACAGGTCTTTCAGCCCAGCCACAGAAAGCTCCCCCAACCCTGTCAGGCCAAGTTCTCTGTCACATGCGTGTTCTGAATGCAACTCATGAACAACAGAGTGGGAACATACACAAGAAATCTATCCAAAGGAACAAAGCTCCTGCTCAAGTTCGGAAGGGATACCAAGTGGGCCACCAGGAATTTGGGGTCGGAGGTTTTTATCCTGTTTGCTTCTAGGAGTAGCCCATTCTCCTTGACGATTAGGTTTGCGGAAAGCAGCACGCTGGTTGGCCAGGCCCACAGCCTTCTGATCAGACCACAGTCTCACCTATTCTCATTTGGGTCCCTCCTATCTTCCCCTTTTTCCCATCCACCTGAGTTCTGGGAGGTGGGGGGATTGCTAGGGAAGTGGGTTGTTAAGGGAATGGTTTCATCTCTCCCATTTGTGGATAGCTCAGGTTATAAAGGAAATTTCATAGGGGTCCCTGGTCTCCAACACACTGGCCAGATCCCAGCCAACCACCCAGCTTGCTCTTTCATTCCTTGGTCCAAACTACACCTACCTGATTTCACCCATCTACCTAGCCTGTTCTCTCATTAGAGTTGTATCAGCTCCACTAAAACATTAGATTGAGCTGGTAGCATGGCTCAAATGGAAGAGAGCCCTCATAGCAAGTATGACACTCTGAATTTGAACCCCAGTACAACTAAAAAAAAAAACCCAATCAATCAACATTACAGTGCTCAGAGTCACTCTGGGTCAGAGGAGAGGACAGCAGTAGCAGTGTCCTCTTAGATCATGGATCTATGAGAGTCTAGGTGGGGGCACAGATCCCCTGCTGCTGTAGGTCCAATGCCACCCCCTCCCAAGCACATACCATCTGGGGTTTGCTTTATCCCTGGGCTTGTTTTCTTCTTTCCTTCCAAGAGATCACACTCATATCTAACCCATGTCTTTGAAGGGGCAGTCTGACATCTTGGTGGGATTGACTATAGCTCTTCTGACCTCTCTTCCCCTCCCCGAGATACCCACTGACCATTGAACTCTTGCTAAGCATGCCTTCAAATGCAGATGAGAAAGTGATCAGAGAGAGCTGGTGAGGTGTCCTGCCTGGCCACCAGACTCCTAACATTTACTGTGGGTGGAGCACCTTCTGTTGAGAATTCCATAACATATATTTATGAGGCAGGACAGATAGCAGGGAAATTAAATTATTTTAATAAATATTACCATATACAGACATTGGAAAAAGGGAGCACAAACTAAAAAGCCAGAGCAGCTTGCACCCTCCCATTTCTTCTTAGACGTTAAGTTACAAGAATCAAGAGACATACAGGGGCTATCTATATTTACCTTTCTCTTTGAGATGTTGACAAGTGCAAGGCTCCTTGGATGGGTAAAGGGAAAGAAAAAATGAAAGGCATGTCTAGCAAAGGGAAGTCCTAAAGCTTTCCTATTGTCTCTGTGTTTTTAGGTAGGATTAGAAGACACCCATCTTAGCCACCAGATCCATTACTGTAATGATTAGAGGTTGCTCGACATGACCACTGTATTTCTCCAGCTTATGAAGTATAAGACTAGAGATGAGGACCACCATTTCGAGCTTTTACTTGTATTTCTTGATTCCTCATTTCTCCCTACTTTTTTTCTGTTATACTAAATTTCATTCCTAGTAAATCTTTGCTATCATTTTGGCCACATTTTCACATCTTGCCTCTGTTCGCCTGCAGGATACAAGGACCAGGCAGACAGATGTTATATTCAGGTAACATTTTTAGGGCTGTAACATAGTTATCAGATCTAATACATCTTAAATTGGAATTAAAATCACAGAAGCTGTCTCTGGGTTGAGGACATGCCTATTCACTTGGCTCTGCAAGTGCTTTTCTACTGTTTAGATTCTGACTGCTTTCTCTGCCTTTCCCAAAGTTATCTTCACATGACTTAGAGATTTCCTCCAGATGCCATCTCTGCCATTCCTACCGGGTTACTAAGTACTAACTGCTTCCTTTTCCTATTGGGTGCTCACTTGTATCTCTTTTTCAACCTTCCCATTATGGAACCCTTCCCCTCTCTGCCCCTATTACTTCCATCTTTTGGATGGGACTGGGTTTCTCAATTTTAGACAACTGCCTCAGAAAAAAACACAAATGGTCTTCTCTCATTATAAAAGCATTTCCTTTGTTGCTGACCTGCTGTCCAATCATTCCAAAGCCTCCCCTTCGTGCCATCTTGGGCTTAATTAGATGAAATTCTTCATGCCATAAAGACACAAGTAAAAAAAGCAGAACTGTTCCTTGAGACAGATTTAGGGAAGCACAGATACTGAAAGAAAAAGAAGCACCAAAGCAAGGAAATTTAAGAATCCACTACACTAATTTCCTGGTCACCAGAAGGGTGCTTCAAACATAACTCCCAACGTTTACCTAGCTGGTGAGTTAGAAGGGCTTGTCTCCCTCCATCTAGGCTAAAGTCTTCATGGACTGTCTCTCCAGCAATGGATGCCCTGCCTGGACAGGAGCAATTGGTTCATTTCCTTTCTTCCATATGGGGAGATAAGTGTTTTATCCCCACTGACTCACCTCTAAGTTGCATTGTTGCAATGTGGCATGGCCAACTTCCATATGGACAGATCAAGAAGTCTGACCTCAAATGCCACTCTTACTTGATATTTTCTGCCAGGATTCCTCTAAATTGTCTGAGGTCCCGTATGTTTAGGCTTTCAGGTACCAATTGTAGGATCACAACCTGTTGTTGTGTGTGGCCTCTCCGGGACCTTCTAGATGATCCTTAGTTCTCTTCTGTACCGCTCTACCACCCTATATACTCCCCTCCACTGTTTTTCCTTCTTTCTAGCACTGTCCATGTAGTGTGGTATCTCCTGCCCACTTTATAGGACTAGTTCACCTGTCACTAGTGAGAAAGTGACTCACGATGTTTCTATGGAGACATTCTCCATGTTTAAACTCCACAAAGGCTGGTGGAATGGCTCAAGTGGTAGAGCATCTGCTTGGCAAGTGTGAGGCCCTGAGTTCAAACCCCAGTACCACAAAAAAAACAAAAGAAAATTCAATTGTCAGGTGCCAGTGGCTCATGCCTATAAGCCTGGCTACTCACGAAGCAGAGATCAGGAAGATCACAGTTCTAAGCCAGCCCAGGCAAATAGTTTATGAGACCCTATCTCGAAAAACATAATGGGCTGGTGGAGTGATTCAAGGTGTAGACCCTGAGTTCAAACCCCAACACTGCAAAAAATAAATAAGACTCCACAAAGGTCTAATGGATCCTCTCCTGACTCTCCATGTTACCTGAGGAATTAAACCCTTGTCTTCTTGACTTTACTGTTAAGCCCTCTGCCTTAAGGGAATGCCTTTTACACTCTTCATTTTTGTTTCTATTTTTATGTTGCTGGCTAAAGCCCAGGCTGATTGATAAGTCTTCCATTTGTCTTATCTCACTCCCCAAGCTGTCTCCATTTGAGGCAGGCTAGAAGAAGGGAAAGTTTGGGACCAGGACTCCTCCCTGACACACCTTAAGAGCTCCATTGTAATTACAGTAAGTTAGAAAGAATTGGAACTTCCTCCCTCGTGAGTGGGACACCTAAGAATTAACATAGTTGTATACTAGAGTCTACCCAGCTCCTCCACTTGGCTCAAAGGTCAAGGGAGCCAGGTAATGACATGCCCATCTCCTCCCCATGGCTCTAAGGTCATTGGAGCCAGGTAACAACACACCGTCACCTGGCTCAGAACCACCCATGCCCCCTCCCCACTTATTGATTATTGGATGGCAATCACCTTCTCCCCTTGCCAAAGGTTGTAATTTTA